TCTTGCCGGTTCCAGAGCTGGTGGAGCTGCTCAGCGGCTTTGCGCGGCGCCCAGGTGCTCCGGATCGGGTCTGAAGTTTCAGCGTTTTTTCTCTCACCCAGGTATTGAGGATCAGATTTGCAGTCTTTCTCCCCATTAATCATCTTTTAAGTTTCTGCTCAAAAACTTCCTCCTCACAAAGTTCTTTCCTGAATACCCTAAAGATTGCCATCCCCCACCATACTTTCCACCTGACAATTCTACTTTATTTTCATTACAGCATGTATAAGTAGCTTAAATTATGTGATCAATAATTTCTCACTGTGTGTCTGCCTATTAGACTATAAGCTCCATGAGGTAGGAATTTTATATATTCATTGTATTTCCATTATTAGGAAACAATGTATAGCCTCAGGATGAATATGGGAAATAGCAAATTAATGAATAACTTGAGCAATGTAAAGTTAAAGAATGGTATCAAGAATCAAGATATGTATTCCTCAAATATCTAAATGTCCTCCTGAAATTTTGTTCTTATAAGAACCTGTCATGTCACCCAAAAACTTAGTCCATATTCTCTTAGCTAAACAATGTCTGATCAGATGAATTACTTCTGTTTCCTATAATAAAACAGAACTCCTATTTCTCACACCAAAGCCTACCTTCATCTTTAAATCCACGTAGAGTCCAAGTGAGAACTTTTAGTTTAAGCATGATTTAAGTGAATAATGCAATAGCATAATTATTATTATATCAAAATTCAACTTGCACGTAAATTATTTGTCAAAAGCTTCTCTGGAAAATTCAATTGGGTTTCACTGGGGAGGAGTTCTATATTATGGAAAAAATGTGTGGAATCTACACCAGACACTGATTCACAATCTGTGGTGGTATTTTGTGGGTGGACCTCACAGGTGACCAATCCAAGTAATGTCTATTGTGTTTTTCTAAGTATCCCATTCAGGGACAATTTTTATTTCTTCCTTTAAACCACAGTTCCACAGCTGTCATCACAGCACTTGTTAAACGAGTTTCCCTTTAATTGCTTTCTGCTATTGCACCCAGCCCTTAAAATCCCAACTATCATTGTGGTTAGTACATTTACCTGAGAACCACTGATCAGGACAAAAGCAGCACAGAAGTGACCTTTATTTTTATTAACATCAACAGCATTATATCAGCACATTATGTATAGGTAAGTGGAGATTTGCTTGCCTAAAATTCTGACAGACATTGAATTATGTTTCCCCAATATAACTCTCACCCAAGGGATGCTGAGAAATAACTGATTTAAAGGGGGAACTTGTCATTATCCTACAATATTTTGGAGTCCTGCATGGAGATAACCCTAGAACATACCTGTATTTGTTTATGGAGTCTGTAGCTTCATGGAGTGGTTTGGAGAGTGCTTCTAAAAGGTGACATGCAGCTTAACATTCTATGAATGAAAAATAATACAATTATATTACTGTAGTAAAGTGAAGAAGAAATGGAGAGAAAATTTTCTCTTAAAATTTAAATGCTAGGTTGGTATTGGTGGTGCTGCTGATCATTACCTTGGTGTATTTTTAAGATCTTGCTTTTTCTAAAGTGCATTCATGCATATTACCTTGAATCTCACAGTTCCATTCCTTCCTAGGCTTTCTCTGTAGACTCATATATAAAACCACATATTTTTATCAATTAAAAAGGAACGTTTATTAAAAAAAATCAAAGACATGAGATTGATGATAAATATTATGAAGGTATTTTACTCCTCTGAAATATCTCTTGCAGAACAGAATTTGTTAAAATATATACTTCATTTATAAAATTAAAGCTGCATATTTTTATTTGTAAAATGTTCATGAATTACAATGTTTGATTATGTATAGACAATGTAGTTTAGTAAAGTGTCTAATTATTATCTGAAGAGGGATCATTAAATATTTACTATTTATTTCTACCTATATATTCAACACACAAGGCATTTTCATCAAAATATATGCAATATTGCAAAATTAACTGGATCTAATTTTAAAATACTTGGTGTTCACTATATTAAATATAATGATGAAATATAAATTTACACATTCCATGAATATTCTCTAAAATTATGTATCGTGAGTCAGTGAGTCAACATTTGAGCCCTTCAATATATACATATATATGTAAATGTGATTAGAAATAATACTCATTGTATTCTTTGAATATTCAATGTAATAAAATATATGAAGATCATTTTTCTTGAATTAAAGTAATTTGTGATTTTATGTGATTTCTTTATTAAAGATGGCATATTTTTTTCATGATTGAAGTTTTTTTATTAGCCACATCTTAGGAAACAGCATGCTTGTTTTGTTTTGTTTTCTCTGTGAGGTAGTCATCACCTTTATGATGAGTGGATGATTTTTTAAAATTTATAGGTGCTTCCTTCTTCTCCATCATTATTTGACACTTGTGTGAAGTTTTAACCTGAAAGATTTCAAAGGATTAAGCCATTGTTCTAAGCACTCCAACTACCTAGCAAGGTTAAAAGCTGTAATTCAGTGGTTATCTTCTCAGAGCAAGGCTTTTATCCCATTATCCAAGAGAGGTGGATGGGTTGGGGACATGGTGGGTGTTGCAGATGCATTTGGGAGGAAGCTTACTTAGTTTTGTGACTGTATGTAGGTGCCTAAGAGATAAATAGCCAAGATGAAGAAAAGAATTATAAGTTTAAGAAAAGACTTCAAAACCACACCAATCTCAATTTTTCCAAAGGGTTAGTTCACAGGTTGGGAAAAAACCCTATGTTTTAGATCCTTGTCAACTGACATTGATCAGTATTGACCAGAAGGGTTTTTGTTTGTTTGTTTTTCTCTGTGGCAAGAGGTAATTGATATTCTTTACTTTCTTCCAGCAATTTCCCTTTCAGAAGCTTTGGTAGGATGGGCTACCAATAATTATGGCTATATGGGGAACTGACAATTCTGCCTAGGAAGTCTATCACTTTATAGTTCTTTAATCTGTGTCATGTAGAACCATTAGATTTTAAACTAGAGGGGGCTACAACCCAGAAAAACATCTGAGCTATAAAAAGCAATAATCTAAATGGAAAAAGAAGTTAAGGAATGTGAATATAAAATTCTATAGCATTTTCAATTATCTATAATTGAAATTACAGTTAACTGAAAATTAGACAGGTATTTCAGTCTTTCCCCTTTAAACTGTAGTGTCAATGAATTCTACCACATATTATTTGATTACAGTTAATACATTTGTTTTATTTCTATTCTTATAAGAATATTATTTCTTAAAAAAATTATAGAGATAAAATAAAAAAAATCTGTATGAAGTCCTACTTTCAGGCAAAGCTAAAGCTAAAGCTAGTCAAAGTAAGAAAGCTGTAAACATAGTCCCAATTAAAACAAGGGGAAGACGTAACTAGTAAGAGTTCATGGGAGACAAGAAAGGGCGGGGACAGTGAACTAAGCCCGGAACTGAGTAGTTTCAGTGCAGCTGAATTCTTAGGAGATGAAGTCAGTGATGACCCGTCACTGAAAGATGAACAATATTTTAATTTTTATAGTTCAAAGTACATGCTGACAATTTAAAGTCTTTTGAGAGATATTAATGATGCTGTGAGGTTCAGGAAAGAAATGAGCCATTGTAGTTAGAATAGAAACAATTGCTTGCCTTAGAAAAAGAAATACAAATTTTGTAAAATATTATAGTTAGTCAGCACTATACTATACTAGTATAGTATTACAGCTTTTCATTTCTGTTTTTGGATGACTCCTAAATTCATGCCACCAGCCCTGGCTCCTCAGCTAACCACCAACGTGTACTGAAAATTTAAATGTCTTTCAAACTCAAGACATAAAAACGTCAATATTTCCCATCCCAAGTTATCTCTTGTACATTTCATTGTGCTTTCTTTTACATTGTTAGGTAAAATCTTGTGTTATTTTTATTCCCAATCCTTTACCAATGTAGATAATTAATGACTAAGTTCAGACAAATATTTTACTGTGAGAGCTTTCTCAAATTCATCACGCTTTCTTTCATTTCTCACTCCACCTCCCGGATTACAGTCATCTATTTTCCCTTTCAATTCTTTCCTTTAAGCTATCATTATGCACGTGTCTTGCAGATTCCTCTTCCTAAGCACTTATGTCGATTTTGTTACCTAACTCTGTCACTACCCATTGACCATGGGAAGGAAACAGATGCTAAGGATAGGAAATTGACACCAGTCATCATATTTCTGGGAAATAATTTCATGGCACTCACCCAGAAAGCTTCAATCAAAATTTAAAGTTAACATGTCAAATTTTCTTCCTCTCCTCTTTCCATCCTGCCATTCTCTTCTCAAATCACCTTTGCTACCACTTTGCTTAACTTGTGGAACTTCCAGGGGTGAATAAGCAGGAAAAAGGAAAGCTTTGTGACGAATGTGGTTTTACCGATATATGGTTCTTATTCTCTTCCTTGATTTACAGGCCTGTTGCAATTCCCCGCCCATCATTGCCACTATGGATGATCGCCCTAAGTGTGTTTGGCGTGTTGGCAGTGGTGGGAGTAACTATTGGTCTCCTGGTTCATTTTCTGGCAGTAGGTTGGTTTATTTTAGTTTGTTATAAACATGATTTCCATCTTCACAAAGGACCAAAAATCAATGGCAGCCAATTGACAATATTCCTTTAAATAAACATCAGTGACCTGAGACACCAGAAGTGAAAACTATTAGCATTGGCGAAACACTTCATTGAATATTCATTTTTTAATATACACAGGGTAAAGAATGTATATATACCATGTACACATATGAATGTCTAGATTGATTATTAATAGACAGAAACAAGTAATCTTAGATTGGATGATATGTATTATTCTATGATTAATATATGATATTTTATGTGAAGAGAAAATGAAGAAAATTGAATTTTGAATTATTTCTTCCTAACAAAAATAATACTATATATATAAAAAATCCCTTTTAACATAGATTTCAAAATAGACTAAAAACATGAGGAAAGCAGCAGTTAATTTTCAAAAACCATGTGTTTCAACTATAGACCTTTATCATAGTATATCCTGCCCCAAAAGGCATGACAATCAGAACACTTCTCATTTTTCCTTCACTTCCTACTAATTAGCAGTATTGTGTTTTACACTGTCAACATTTATTTCTTCATTCTGGTTTATAGCCAGAATTGCTACAATTGTTTCATTTTGAGTATATATTTATGTATACTTAACTGGAACATATCACCACCCATTCCTTTTCCCATGAATTTTCATGCTTAGAGTCTCTTTCTTCCAAATATATATTCAATTAAAGCACTATTAAATTATATATATATTAAATTATGTATATATATATACACACACACACACATATATTCAGAGTTGCATGAAAATGGCAGAACTTTTTTTTTTTTTAAAGATTATTTATTCATACAGAACTGGGGTACAGGCCAGAGATGCGGAAGGTGAGAGGATTCACCAGAGACAGAGCGGGGAGCAGAACAGGCAGACCAACCAAGTACACCGGTGAGGGGAGCCGCGGGCGGGCCAGGAGAGGTCTGCCTTGCCATGCGGATATCCTTCGGGCAAGTGGGAATCGAACTCATGCGGAAGTGGCTTAAGCTTCTTAGTGCTGTGCTTTAACCCTCCGCGCCACCAGGGAGGGCCCAAAATGTCAGAACCTTTTATGAAACATGATGCTTCTTCTCCACTATTCCTATCTGCCATTTCTCAGAGACAAGAAAATTCAGCTCCTTGAGTCAATTCTTAGGGCTGTTATATCCTAATTTTTAGTTTTGGTATAATCTTCTCACCTTCTACTTTGGAAGGTGAGTTTTCCATACTTATTCACTCACTGATAACATAGCTGTTGACTTTGAATTTTCCTTCAGCAACAATGTAGGGATTACTTTCAATTGTCTGTTGCAGTTAATCCCCTAATGCCTGGATTCTGTATTTCCTTTTTATTTTATTTACTCAGTTTGGTGGAATGTGCATTCTAGTCACTGTCTAGGAAGTTTATTTTTGGCAGTTCAGGTTTCTGAAATATTTTAATTAATAGTATAGAATTCTATACTATTAGAAAAAGTTTTCTCTGTATTTTGAAGCAAAATCTGTATTGTTTTGCTTTGCATTTTTCTATAAAGAGGTCTTGATACAGCTTTCAAAGAAAGCTTTTCTCTTATACTTCCTACTAAAACCTTATTTTATTTTTTATTTATGAATTTTTTTCCAGTACTTTGAAATTTCATAGAATTGTGATATTGTTCTACATTTTATTTTCATCCATTGTGCTGTTAGTGGGTTCTCTCAATCTAGAAACTCATATGCTTCAGTTTCTGATAATATTGTTAGATTATTTCTTTGAGGATTTCCTGTCCTCTTTACTTGCTTTCTGGAGATCCTGTAGTTTGGATATTAAGATCCTAAATGTCGCCTTTAATTTTCTTACCATTTGCTTTCTATTTTTGACTATTAATCTTTTAAAAAATTACACATTTATTTTTCAATTCTATTGAACTCTCTATTTCTGCTATTATATAGTTAATCAGCTAGTTTTTTTCTATCTATATATTCCTTTATGTAACATCTGAATCTTATTTCTTATAAAATCTTTGATTATAATATTTTACTTAAATTTTTAGTCTCTTTATATCAAGATTTTCTCTGATTATCTTGGCAGTCATTCATATTACATAGTTTTATTAAATATATGTTGACCTTCATTGTTTGTTACTATTTAAGATTAGATATTAAAGCACTAGCAGGAAGCTATATATGAAAGGAATATATGTTGACTGTGGCTTTTAATATACACCATTCTATTAAGGCTGTTTTGTTGAGGAATTGAAGTTACCACTATAATTAGATCTATTACCTTGAATTGGGGAGTATTCCCAGATGGGAAAAAAGTTTCCCTTGTTTTGTGTGGATATAGTCTAGGCTGCTAGCAACCTGTAGTCACATGGTGGTGATGGCAAGGAGTATACAGCATATAAATTTTGAGAGTGGTGTACCTGTAATCTACTATGTATCAGTTTTTTCATCTAAAAATCTTAGCAGTTGGGGAAGATAATGGGTTATAGCAATTTCAACCAGTCTTCCTAGTTCTAATCCTACCTTCAAATCTGCTTCTAGAAATACATGGTTGTTTACAATGGCACAAATATTTTTTAATATTTTCTTTAAACTGAGTTAATATTGAGGTGCCCCATCAGGTATTACCACCAAGGTGCACTCACCTCCAACTCACCTGTGTTCCACCATCATCCACCACACTACACTTCCTTCCCTCTTTGTTCTTATCCTCCCTACCCCTTCTCCCCTTAGTGCTTTAGATCTCTAGTGATCTATGAAGGGTTAGGTAGTAGGTTAGGTATGGACAGATCAAGTTTTGATTCTCGGCTTTTCTTAGTAGATACACAGAGCTGAAAAGTTACTGAATAGCTTCATGATTATATTTTTCCTGAAAAATGGGTACACTTCAACCAGATATTATAAAGTATCTTCACAGAGTAGGTACTTAATAAATGATAATTTTATTGCTATACTGCAAATTGGTTATTCTAGACATAAATATCATTTATAGTTTATAGTCCTACATGTCTCAATTAAGGGGTTATCCTTCTACATCTGCTCCATTCTTATATTTTCCACAATACCCATTTTCTTTTTAAAATAATTATTCAGAAAGATTCACAGGAGACTAATATGAGCACAATACTTAATTGGTTGGTATTGCTATATAATCTATAACTGTATTGAAATTTATTTCTCTGTAGTGATTCTTGTATCATTTCTTTATTTCACAGAAAGCAGGACCAATTATTATGGGGGTAGCTTTAAAGTGCTGGATATTCCATATAGTAAAAATTTTGAAAGGGAGACATCACCAGAAAATCATTATCTTAGCAAAATTCTCGAGACTAAGGTAAACTATATTTATTTAAATTTATTTCTTTGTTTATTTTCTGAATGATCAATATATAATTGTAATTTGATGTTTAACTCTGTTTTCTTTAACAGATGTCTGATGCATTTGAAAGCTCTAGCATGTACAGACAATATATCAATTCTCAAGTCATCACATTGGTGTAAGTAACTAATATAAACAGTCAGAAATCAACACATATATAGTATCACATTTCAAGGTTCTCTGAACAAACTGTTTATTGTTACATAGTCTTTAGTCAATAAATTACTAATAAATAGATTTATCTTAAGCTAAATGTTATACCGCTTTTACAGTATGAAGCTAAAGTAAAAATTGGGCTACTTAGTTGAGTTTTCAGACCTATAGGGAATGTAGCAAACCTTAATTATGGTTAATTTATTGCTCTGGTTTCTTAAGCCTCTATATCCAACAAATATTAGATGACCCCTTAGGCCAATGCCTGGAGCGCTCCCTTTTAATTTAGCATTAGCATAAATACAGACCCTATTTTGTCATGTGTTTCTTCTAGAAAGTGAGCTAAACATCTTATAAAGTGTCATAGAATTCATACAGGGTAGAAAAAACATCTCTATACCTGGGTTTGATGCTACAGAAATCCTTCAGTCAACATAACAAAAATGTTAACTATGCTGTGGTCTCTGTATATGGGTGTAGAGTAGCACAGAATAGCAGAGAGGACCCTAGAACAGGAGCTACATAAATGAGCCTAGTGTTTGCACTTAGTATCCCAAGAGCCTTCACCAGTCACTGTATCACTTTATTCCCCTGTGCTATATCCTTTCTGTGTCAATTTACAGATGTATAGATAATCTGAGAAATACAGATAACAACTTGCTTCCCTCATCAAGCTGTACTCAGCATCAAAAAAGATACTGCATGTGAAAATATCTGCAAATAAACAGGTTTCAAATGATTCATAAATATGTAGAATATGAAGGAAAAAAACAAAGGAGCAGGCAAAACTGAACCAAAACTACTTCTGAAATAGGACCACAGAATTGAGACTGTACAGGGGGAGAGTGGGGAGTGGGGAAAAATTGGCCATTACTGCTTTATCTTTAGCAACGTGACCAGATCATGCTTATTTACCCTGTTTTTCCTACTCCTGGAAATCATGGAACTCTTTGTTTCCAAAGAAAGCTACCCAAATACCACAGTCAGATTAATCATCCTCAAGCATGGTTTACTTATCCACTCTTCAGAGTTACCCTTCCCATTCACTAGCTTTAAAAATACTCTTGGCCCTCCCTGGTGGCGAAGCGGGTTAAAGCACAGCACTGAGAATCTAAAGCTGCTTCCGCATGAGTTCGATTCCCACCTGCCCCGGAGGAGACCACGTGGCGTGGCAGACCTCTCCTGGCCCGCCCGCTGCTCCCCTCAGCAGTGTACTTCGTCGATCTGCCTGTTCTGTTGCCCACTCTGTCTCTGGTGAAGCCTCTCACCGCCCCTGAGCCTCTGGCCTGTACCCCAGTTCTGTATGCACAAATAAATAAATCTTTAAAAAAAAAAATACTCTTCTCTCTCTGGCTAGCTGCATAGGAGGACAAAATTTGTAATGTAAAAACCTGGGTTATGGAGTCAACTATACAGAATCCAAATCTTTGTTTAGTAGCAGTGTAAGCTTGAGCACATCAGAGCCTCAAATTTTCCCTATAAAGGTAATGACACCTATATTGCAAGGTTGTAGAGACTAAATGTGATTAAAAATCCATCTAGAACATAGCAGATGCCCCATAAATGCTAAATAATATTGGTCCAATCCAGTTATTCTGGAGTTCTGTCCCTCATTGTATCGACCTGATGAAATTTCATACTCTGTGATAAAATAGTGATAAAATACTCTAAGGCTCAAGTGTACACCACTTTATTCTGTTCAAGTAAAAATTTGCTGATCTTTCTTTTCTCTATCTGCAAATAAAATAACTATTTCACTTCTGCTTCATTTATTATGGTCAACTGTATGTTTATGTCTCCAAGAAATCTAGACATTCTTTAAGGTTGGGGACCTTGTCTCATGGGTGAGCCTTGTATCACCCAATAGTACCCAGTCACATCACTTGGCTACAACCATTGTACAATAAATGATGAATTTGTGAGTAAAAGATCCCAAGTGTTACATGATATGTCTAACCTGTGCTTCAGGTCTTTTCTATTTTTCAGATCTGTGGAACTAATTGTTCTATAAATGTAATATTATACAGCTGACTACATTTTATTACCAAGTGAATGTAGACAGTTGGACAATTCTGTGACTAACTTAAAGTGAGGGTACTACACAAACCCCTGAAAGAACAGAAGAAATCAAGCTACTAAAGACCAGGGAATGAGGAAGTAAATGTTATTATCATTATTATTTTTTCTTTTGCAACTTGTGATATCTTTATGTTGTTCCCAGTTCTAATAGTAACAGTGTGACAGCACATATATGGCTAATGTTCAAGGCTCCCAGGTCACAGAAGAAAAACACAAAACGAAAAATTGAAAGCATATTACGTTACATGCTGAGCAGCCAGTCTGGATCCTTGAAGATGGATCCCAATTCTCTTACACTAACGGGTAAGCTTATGCATTAGATCGAGACATGTTCATTTGATTATTTTTTTAAAGATTTATTTATTTATTCATATAGAACTGGGGTATAGGCCAGAGATGCGGAGGGTGAGAGGATTCACCAGAGACAGAGTGGGGTGCAGAACAGGCAGATCGACGAAGTACACTGCTGAGGCGAGCAGCGGATGGGTCAGGAAAGGTCTGCCACGCCATGTGGTCTCCTCCGGGGGCAGGCGGGAATCGAACTCATGCGGAAGTGGCTTAAGCTTCTCAGTGCAGTGCTTTAACCCGCTGCGCCACCAGGGAGGGCCTCATTTGATTATTTTATCCTTAATAGAAAAAAACACCAGGTACAAAATTCATGTTCATTTAAAAAATTTTTGTTCTTTCTTTCTACAGCAAATATTTACTCTTTAAAACTTTGAGTTAACATTGGATCTTCACTTTTTAAAAATGAAGAATTCAGTGTTTTATAGCAGAATAATTGTATTCTTCATAATTAAAAAAACTCATATTAATGCCAACCTTAAAATTACTTCTGTGGTAAAAAAAAATAATATTTAGAGCAGATATTAGGACTTGAAACAATCTTTATAAGTATGGAAAGTTTTGCTATTTTTTTCATGACCCCCTGTAAACTTTCAGCATAGGATTACCTTTAAAAGACAGGTCATTTATTGAAAGTTATTTTTGTGTGCTGACAGAATCATAATTAAGGATCATCCTGTTTTTTTCCTAAGAAATGATTATAGGTTTTTTTTTCATTTTAGCTGATGTAGAATACAATCCCAATAAATGAAAAAAGCTTCTTATATGGAACTGTGATATTATTTCCACATATGTATTCATATATAGTCAAAGAACAACTTCAGTAAACTGGTTTCTCTCTTTCCTATTAAACTTTATTCTGAGATTCACTATTACTCGTGGACCCTCCTGTTTTGTAAACCTATCATCTTATTCCATGGGTATAAGGGTCAAGGGACTAATGTTAGATAATAAATTTACTTTTTTTTTTGGTTTTATATCAGAAATCAGTAAGGCCGATGCTGAAAATATCATCAACAACCGTAAGTTCAGATACTTTTTCATTAAATGTGTGAGATGATCTAAAACATAATAGTCAAAATTTGTTACTCCTGACCAGGCATCGTTATAAGTACTTACATATAATCCTCAAAACAATCCTAGCAATAAGATTATTATAATTTCATTTTAGAGATGGAGAAGCTAAAGCACAAAGAAGTAAAATAAATTATCCAGATACACTCAGCTTGCAAATGGTTGGACAAGAATTCAATACAAGCAGTGTGGTTGCACAGCCCATGATCTTAACCTTGACTTAACCTGTCTCACATAGATTTCGCCTTCTCTAAGTGCTGCAGTGTCTTGCAGATACCGGGTAGGGAGGTGACTCAGAGGTTACTGGTGATTCGTGGTAACTACATTATGATCTGTTCCTGTCTCTGCAAGATATTGTCAGACATAATTATACATGAATGATAGCACCTCACTCTTGACTTTGTAATCCAATACATATTATTTTCCTATATGCAATGGCCCAAAACTGGCCCTTTCTGCCAGGCTGTGGAAGACGAGCAAGGACGTCAGCTACATATGACAGAGTCAAGGGAGGTTCCACTGCTCAGGAAGGAGAATGGCCATGGCAAGCAAGTCTCAAAAAGAATGGCCAACATTACTGCGGGGCCTCTTTGATCAGTGACAGATACCTGGTGACTGCAGCTCACTGCTTTAAAAAGTAAGCTCATCTTGTTGCCCAAGGCTGGGTAGCCCAAAGACCCCAGAACAGGTCCATCTTATACCTGTTATCCCAGAGGAATCATTGACAGCACTCCCTTTCATTCTCCAAAGTATCATGGTTTAGAACACAAATTATATGATAACCCAATCTAAGACTTTGCTTCTTTACCATTAAGAACAGGATGAGTCATTCACTCTTCATTCTACATTTTCCTCCTCACATTATTCTTATTTTTCATCTGTGTATGTGTATGTGTATATTTTAGACATTCCACACCACGGTAGTGGCTAAAATGAATCATTTTTTCATATTTTCTTTCCCCTTTTTACATGCCTGATGCCTCTCCTCATATTTTAGGCAAATAAGACTCATTTACATAGTGTCACCCAAAATGCTACTTAAAAATCTTCTATGCCACTGGTGCAGCTCTGGAGCATTAGTTAGTGCTCAGTACTCATAACAAATTATTCCATTATAAAACAACTATAAATGAGAGACATTCTTCAGGGAGGGGGAAGGGAAAGGATCATAATGAGGGTGGGAAGAGCACTAGGGACTATGGTTATGGTGCACAGGTGAATTGGTGCTGGGAATTTTGCAGGGACTATGCCTGATAAAAGAAAGCAAATATTGTACAGAAATGAACAATGATTTAAAAATATATATAAATAAATTATATATTTCAAAAAACTTCCATTTCTAGATCATGCAGATTTAAGTCTTTCACTTTGTGGTCTGACTCATTATAAATACAACCATGTAAGCAATTATAGCTGCCTGTGTTTGTGTTCATTTTAAATTAGGTTTAAATTTCTGAAAGAATGAACTATTTAGTTTTATGTCTCAATTGCCTTAGATATTGCATTATGTAGTGATCCAAAAAGATTTTTAAAAAGAATGAAAAAAAATCCATCTGTATCACTGCTAATAGATTATAGAGGAAAAAATATTTTCATGAAACAAGTATAGGTTGTATATGTGTTTCCTATACTACTGATTTTGAAACAAATACAAAATATATGGTTTTCATCTCTTTAGGACACAAAATCCAAGAAACTACACTGTCAGCTTTGGCACTAGAGTAACTCCCCCCTACATGAAACATTACGTCCAACAAATTATTATTCATGAAGACTACGTCGCAGGTGAACATCATGATGACATTGCAGTTATACTGCTCACAGAAAAAGTTTTGTTTAAGAATGATGTACATAGAGTTTGCCTTCCTGAAGCTACAGATATTTTTCCAGCAGGTGAAGGAGTGGTTGTAACAGGATGGGGAGCACTTTCCTATGATGGTAAGTTCAGTGAAAATGTAATATAGTATTTAAAGTGCAAAAGCAACCATCAAAATTAGTGACCTAGGTACAATGTCAAAGATGCAATTTACTTCCAGAGATTGACAACTTGCAGGTATCTCTCAGGAAAGGTTCTATGGAGTTATGAAATTGCAAATTCCTCGGTTTGGAACATTCCAAGAAGACCAACATAGCTGTAACATGTCTCTAACTTATTTGAGAAGGTCCAAAGATATAAGTAGAGACATCAAGGATATAGAAAGATAGCATTAAAATGATGTTTCAAGTTTCTCTTTGAACAATTGCTTTGAATGAGAGTCTTTTAAATTTAAGAATAGGTAAGAGTCAAATGTAAGGTCTTCTGTACACATGGCAACATAATGTTTTGGTCTTGTTCTTTTCAGAACAGCTTTTCTGCTAATCACATATCTTCTTTTAGGTGAATACCCACTGTTACTTCAGAAAGCACCTGTGAAGATTATTGATTCAAATACTTGTAATGCTAAAGAAGCATATAATGGTCTGGTGCAGGACATAATGTTATGTGCTGGCTATATGGAAGGAAACATTGATGCCTGCCAGGTAATTCTGGAAGTTTATTTAGTTCATTTTATTTTCAGTTTATTTTATTCAGCTTATTTTATTTTAGTTTATTTCAATTTATTTGTACTTTGACAGGTCTGTGAAACTGTCTCTCAGCTCTGACACTAAAGCAACTCTTCCCTGCAGATAAAATGAGTTTATAAATTTTTAACAAATATGTACATTGGACTTATTCTGAGTCAATGATTGACCTTAATTCTTTACAAACATTAATTCTTTAATCTTCATTATGACATTGTGACATGTATTCTATCATTACTGTCATTTTATAGACAAGGAAACTGAGGACAGTAAAATGATTTACACGAGGTCTCACAGTTGGCATACAAACCAAATAGTCTAGTATCACAATCTATACTTATAACTACATGTCAAAAAGTAATCAGTTTGAAAAATTTCAATTACATCCAGCCCACTTCTCTTAACTTTTGAGCCCTGATGTCTAGGGTTCTGGCCACTTTTCTCAGCTATGAAGTTCTGGACTAAGTACATCATAATACACATATTCCAAAATTTTTCTTATAGAATTAAACTTTGTAACTTCTCATTTCACACTTTCAAGGTTCAGGTAAATCTCAAGGAATCCCAAGGAGTATATTCAGAGTTGAGGTTAAGGGTGATGAAGGAATTTAAACCATACACTTTTCTATGGTTTCTATAAAGCATAAATCACAAACTTTATCAGGGCTTATCACTTAATGTAAATAATCAGGAAGTCAATTTCCATGTTTAATATCCTGTTTTGTTTAGGGTGACTCTGGAGGACCACTGGTTTACCCCAATTCTCGAGATATTTGGTACCTTGTTGGAATAGTGAGCTGGGGTGCAGAATGTGGTAGAATCAACAAACCAGGCATCTATGTTCGAGTGACCTCCTATCGCAACTGGATTGCTTCCAAGACTGGTATCTAAGAAAAGAGTGTCTATCTAAGATAAGAGTATCTTGTAACAATTATGTCAGGGTCATTTTTGCCTGTTACTCCTAAGCCTTATTTAACATGCCCTTTAATAAATTAGTGTGTACAATGATTATTTTGAAACATTTGTGGTCTTGAGGGAATTTATGAACTTTAATTCTAAGCAGACACTACAAAACAAAAAATATCATTTTTAGTCCAGAAAGGCCTATGTGAAGTAAGCGTTCCTAATCAACCAGCCTATTGCCATTTGCTTTCTGTTTAATGAACCAACATGAAGCTATCTCACATCATACAGCTCTTGGTTTTAGCTGTTAAACTTGCTGGTTTATAAAAGTACATGCATGTCTATATGAAGTCAGTTAGGACAACTGAGAGATTGGAATAAACACCTACTGAAGTGCTGGGTTTGATCATGATTTATTTGCCTTCATATCAGAACATGTGTGGTAGTGAATTAAATTTACTAAAAATACAGGCACTGACAGATTTTTAGAGTCCCTTATTTTACTGGGTTGATCAACTCTTGTAATTATTGGGAAAGAATTTCACCATCATCAAAACTAAGCAACACAATACATTTAGACTTATGGAGACCAGGGACACTAGCTCTTCAGTGCTGATACAGGTTTCTAAGGAAATTCTTGTAAATTATTTAAAAAAAAAAAAAGCTATGAGCCATGAAAATATGTGATGTATTTTAATTAAAACAAATTTAAAAGCAGACTATTTTTGTTCAATATAATTTTCTCTTCCTCCTTCCTTTCTTTGTCCTTTTCGTTGTGGTTGCCATTTTGTCAACCTTTAGCAGGTAGCTTTTTCTCTTTTATATTTTCCACTTGGTTCACAGCTCTGGGATGAGTAAAGGTCTAATGAGGTTGGAGGGAGAGTGCTTCAGGCAGAAGCTCTAGGCCAGGCCCCTCAAGGACCACAGGGTACAGGAGGCTCTTGATGATGCTTGAAGACACAAAGGGCCATGCAGGATTAGGGCCTTTTGGCTTCTGGATTTCGATCAGATAATTGTCCATTTTGTGGGTGATTTTGGCTCCCAGACCAAGAAGTGGTTTTCCAGGAAGTCACAAAAAAGTGGTGCCAGTAGGTGTCAGTTAGCTGGTATCAGAAGATGGAATGGCAAAGGACGTAGATCTAGAGCTGTGACTGGGGGCTAAGGAGGAACTTGTGGGTGGCTGAAGGTTGGACAAGGAGGAGAGAGAATCTCTGTCCCAACAAGAGACAAATCCATACTTGTGCATGCAACTAGCTGTTTTGTAGAAGAGAAATATTAAATTTTGGCCAAATTCTTCGTCCCATAGTTTGTAGAAGCAAGTATAGAGTCTTATTTTATGAGCTATACTTGTCTTCACTAAAAGCACTTAAGTTTATAATATTCTTAGAACTAGAAAAATTTTTATCAATACTTACTAAAAGTCTGAGTTAAATCTTCACAAGTACCCTTGAGTAGTATTTCGACCTAGTTGAAGATTTAACCTCCTATATTGAATATAAAAATGAAACTATTTTACCTACTAAATTTTCTACTCCCAGAAACTATGGATGTTTATCTACTGATAACCATTTTCTAGATGTTAAAGATCTGGAATAAGTAGATAACATATAGCATCATATGATTTACTTGTTCTGTAGTATTGTAAATCTACTTTTACATATTTTTAGTTCTTTTCTATCTATAATCCCAGTTTTTTCAAATGTTGAAAGACAAAATACTCTCAAAGCAGTGTCAATATATTAAATTCCAGGTATTAACTATCTTCATATTAATTCATTTAGTCATAATTAGAATTAAATTTTATGTTATTATCATCATAATAAATGAAAGTATTGCTTAACATTTACTGAGATTTTGAAGCTCATACTAATAAGACTGAATTTCAGGGCCTCCCTAGTGGCCTAGAGGTTGAGTCTCAGCTTTTTCACCACTAAGGTCTAAGTTCAATCCCCCAGGGAGCTAATCCACATGGCATAGCAGGCCTCATTTGTCTCATCGCTGCTCTCCTCAGCAGTGTATTTTTTTTTTAAAGATTTATTTATTTATGCATACAGAACTGGGGTACAGGCCAGAGGCTCAGGGGGTGAGAGGCTTCACCAGAGACAGAGTGGGGTACAGAACAGGCAGATATTCGAAGTACACTGCTGAGAGGAGCAGCGGGCGGGTCAGGAGAGGTTTGCCACGCCATGTGGTCACCTCCGGGGCAGGCGGGAATCGAACTCATGCAGAAGCTGCTTTAGATTCTCAGTGCTGTGCTTTAACCCGCTGCGCCACCAGGGAGGGCCACTCAGCAGTGTATTTTAGTAGCTCCATCTGCTCTGCTCACCACTCTGTCTCTGGTAAATCCTCTCCACCTGCTGTACCTCTGGCCTACACCCCAGTTCTTCTACGCAAAAATAAATAAAATCTTTTAAAAAATTAGTTTACACTGATAAATAACACCAGCAACATGTTAACAAAGGCATTTTTACTTGTAGAGCAGTTTATACCTCTGACTTGATTTGTATAAAAAGCTCTCTGAACCATGGCATGGGTTCCATTCACCTTCTCCGCACTTCTAGTTTACCATGAAAGCTTCCAAGTGATACTAAATATCTTGTTCTATATTACCTTCAGATCCAGGGAGCTAAGCATAAAGTGAAAAGGACATAGAAGATGTAACAGGGTGGTCCCCAGGAAAAGGGGCTTTTCCAGGTTCCCTGTTCCACCCCAAAGAGGATGGGGCTGAACAGGGAAGAGAGGAAGCTGGAGAGGAGACTGGAAGAAGGAAGGAAGAAGGATAGAGAGCCAGATGGAGACCTGAAGAAGCCACATGGAGCAGAGTAGAAGCTCTGCTTGTTTCTTGGCCTTGGACTGGTTGAAACAGATGTGGATGAGAAACCCGTCGAAGGTTAACAGTGGCAACCTTTATCTGGATTTTGATTTTGCTCTTTTCCTCCCAGACTTGCTTGCATGTTTCTGACCCTTTTCTATGGGTCCCCGCCAGAATGTGCCTTGGACTTGTGACAGTCTTGCAGGCCTCAGTGGTCCTACTTTGGGCCAATCCTGTTTGGCTGGACATGAGGGGGTGGGCAACTTTGGGTGCTTGATCTGGAAACTATATTCTTCCTGTTTTCTGTATGGCACACTGATTGTACTAAAGTTCCTTGCCATTCAAGGTCTTATATACTAGTGTATATTTTGTCTTGATGCAGCAGATGGCAGAAACTATTTAGAATGGGCAGATTTGGGGGTCCTGGGTGCCCCTCACCCTGTCCTCTAACAAATATTGGACAGATTTTTAAAAAATGGTAAAATTTAGAATGTGTCAGAGAAAAGATCTTAGATTCCCCAAGCCTCATTAAACTTCAGGTAAAAGGTTTATGAAAATACATCACATTTCTCATGTCAATCTATTAGGAAAAAAAAAAGGAAAAAGCCTAGGGTAAATTCTATATAAATATCTAGATAAGTTATACATAAAGCCAAAAATAACTAGACACTCTTTTATATGATCTATGAAATTTGCAATGGTCTCTCCCAATAAATGTCACACTTACTTTTTGTGTTAGCCTATATTGAATTATCTTACCATCATCTTGCCATTTCCTACAATTTATAATTTTAAATGTTTCATCTCAGGCATCTCAAATTAAATTAGATTCTTTCCCCCTGTAACCATGTGACATTGAAGAATACAATGATATGATTCCTGGTATAATTTGATGACACTACCTTAATTTACTAACCTATCAGCAGTTTTAGCTACCATTGCTCATTGCTTTGATTTTACAGACTTTGGATCTTAGGGACTCTTAGAGGTCAGCAGACTATATTTAAAAAAACTGCTGATATAAGTTAATTGCTTTAAAACAAATCATACAGAACTAGTATGAAGAAAACAATCTCATCAATTCATAAATAGCCAAGATTTTACCATATATTGATATACAACAGAAACCTATGAAAGAGGCAAATAACCCAGAAAGAGAGATGAGGACAATCACTGCTTAGCTAAACCAGGAAAATATTTCTTAGTGAAGGGGTGGAGGTACTTGGGAATAGCATCCAAAGCAGAGAAAACATATTGTCAAACACTGTGACTGAATATAGCATCATGCATTAGTCAGGATTGACCGGATTATATTGTGGTAACACACACCTAAGTCTTCATAGCTTAACCCATCAAAATTTATTTCTCACTCATGCATTATAACCAGTATTAAGACTCTCGAAGGTATCTGGATCAGCAGCCTAGGCTGCTTTTGACTGATGGCTGTCCCATGCTACTGAAAGGGACTAATTACTCCATATTCTTCAAGGGAGTGGAAGAGAAAACTGAAAATAGATTCACTGAAAATATCCAGTAATGTCCTAGACTACTAGTCAGAACTCATATAGCACCTTTAACTTTCAGGGTTGAGGAATGAGACAGAGCACTTTTGTACTTGGAGACCCATAAATTTCTCTGTTCTAACCTAGTTTCTTAGAACAAGCTTTTGGAGCTAATTTTTACTCTTGCAAAAAAAAAAAAGCAGACTGTTTACAGAGTAAACAGTAAAGGACTGCTAATCGAACAGAATGAAGAGTCACACAAAGGTTTCAGATCAAGAAAGCAGCAGTAGAGGATTTAGATGATAAGCAACAGATTCTTAATGGTAGATCAAAACCTTGTCTGGTGTTGGAGAGTTAACATTTTCTTTTGGAAAAGAGGAAAAAGGAAATAGAGTGTAAAGAAGGGACATCTTTGAAATTGACAAATTATGTCAAACAGAAACACTAATGTTCGAAATAGTATAAACATTCCAGCAGAGGGCACTATAACTCAAGTATCATTCTTTACAAATTTTTCCATCTGTCAAATTTGCAGTGAGTTGACAACTTGTTTATAGTAAGCAAAGTGAAGTTCCCTAAAGATAGGAGAATAAAGTTAAAACTTCCTTTATAATCCTTATTTTTGGTAAACAAAGAAATAAGCCAAGAAGATTTTTGCACATTCTTATCAATTG